AAATAAATAAAAATTAAATCCTAAAAATCACTTTATCTTCTTTATGGAAGATCAAGTACTATAAAGGAAGGGAGGAGGGGTCCTGTTTTGAGCAAGCAGAGCCTTTAGAGGCCAAAGGTATGTTTTGAGTAAGCAGAGCCTTTAGAGGCCGAGAGTGAGTCACAGGGCTAGTGACATACCAAAGATGTTTCCAGCAGCCAGCACCATAGTAAGCCAACTCTGAAGGCACTGGTAATCCTCCTCCGAGGGATGAACACATCAGAGTCAAGTCTGCGTCTCCTGCTGTCATCACAGCCAATCTATCAACTTCCTGCTCCCAATCTCACAAGTCACCTAGCCTTCCAGTATACAGCCACAGTACCCCTCCTTTCAAGTAATTCTACAATTTTCTCTAAAATATCATTGATCACACAAGTGAAATGGTCTGTATTAGTTAATGCCTCTCTACTAGGCAAGCTCCTTATATCTGTTTACAACGGACTAGATACAGGTTTAGAGCTATAGAAAGATTTGAAAACTCTTGAATTGTTCTTCAGTGCCTGCCTGTGTTTATTGGATCTCAATTTTACAACACTTTTTTAAAATGTCAAGAAATTATAAACATTAAAAGTGAGAAAATTTAATAATTATACCATATATTGAAATGTTTCCTTTGGTCTGGGGAATAACATCTGCTATACTAGTTAACTTGTTAGAGTGTGTCCATCCTGTAGGTCGAAAAGCCAAAATCTGATCATATTTCCCACCACACTTCTTCAAATGACTCTGCAAACCCTGTAAAATAAAAATAGCATATTGATTTCATGGCCAATGGAGATGGGTTATGTGTAATAAAACAGAATGATTAAAGATGTTACACTGGCACAGTTATGGGGAATTTTCCCTTGTCAGGCAATAGCTTGCAACAACCTAGTGTTGTGCTTCTAAAAAATAAAGTTACTGAAAAAAAATCTAAGATCTTTCTCTTCTTTACATATCTAAAGTTAAACAAGCTTAAGTACAATCTGAAAAAAGCATGATGAGGCAACTTTAAACATAAGCAATTATACATAAACAAATTATAATTCAGATAGCTACCAAAAAAACCCAACCAAATGAAACTACTCTCCAAATCCTACTACACAGAGATACTAACACTGGTAAACATCAGTGCAAACATATCTCCATACATATACCAACAGGGAATTGACAGATGAATAAAGATGAATAAAGAGACAATTTTATAAAATGGCATTATATTCAGTACAGATATATATTATGCTTAGTAACATTCTTCTCAGATGTTTATTCCCTTTAAACATGAACTAGATTAATTTTAAAACTCTTCATGCCACTACAGTTGAAACTAATATGCTCTCCTTCTAAGTCTTGAATAGAACAGAACTTCTCCAAACTAATGTCATTATAAATGATGACATTTAATAAAACTCTGATAAAATCAATGACTGAAGTTCAATCTCTGAAAGATAAGAGAAATCCCATTAAAGATAATAATGGCACGAAAGATACAAAAAAATCTAATACTTTTGGTCTTAAGACTAAAACCCAGAGTTTCAAAGGCTTAGAATAAATAAAAAATTCATTTCATTGATGAATTGATAACAATTCTTTAATCTTTCTTTTGTATCAAACAATAATCTTTTATTAATTTTAAGTCCATATAAGAATAGCTATCGTAAAACAGTCATTATTCTTATCAGCTACTATGCCCACCGGAAAAAGTTTAAGTTATGGATATACAAGTAAGTTTCCATTACGATAACCCAGGCTCTGCTACTTTTCAAGTTTTTGTCTTGCTGAGTCTAGGATCTAGCCAATGCTATTTGTTTAACTGCTATTCCTCCTGTCTTTGTTCTCCCAAAAAAGAAAATAATAGGAAACTGAGGCTTAGAGCAATTATATGTGTATACTGTAAACTGAGAATCCAACTTTCAATATATGTCATCAAATCTATCCATTCCTATTTATCTCTGTAAAAATACCCTGGAGAATTAAATAACTAATTTTTGCTTTTTATGACACAAATTAGAGTTACCACAAAAACATTATTAAGCTGTACCACAAACAAGAACTTACGACATCATATAACCTGAACCTGTGAAAAGACTGCCAACGGCCACTGGTCATCCATCAACCACAATTTGAGAACTTCTCTCATGAGGAAATTTCTTAAGAATAATGTAATCAACATGGAATCCCTGATCTATGACTTGTCTCTCTCTGTTTATTGGTAACCAGTTTGTGAGAAAAATGCTTTTGACAATGTTACTAAAATTATTTTCTCAGTATGCAAATAATCATCTGTAACATCACTGTTATAAATTTTACCATATTTAATCAATCAGGTTTAAATCAGAGGTGGCGGTGAACTAGACAGCATGAATGGTATTATTTATAGCATTTCGCAGGCTTTCAAGCAGGCCTTGGATACTCTGAAAACTGTATTAGGTTTACCTTTCCACAAAAAGCCATTACTTCTCATTCAACAAAACTATTTTTGGCTGGTAAAAAATTGACTATTAAGTGCTAACTAAAATACAACATTACAGTAACCATCAGCTTCTGCTCCGTCTGTGTTTTGGAGATAAGAAATCTTCAAAATATGTGATCAATACCTGGTCACTTTAATGGAGGAAGAAGAGAGGCTACTGAAGGCAACACCAGTAAATATCTGTTCCAGTATTATACCAAGTGCTAGCATTGGAGTGGAGGGCAAGAGGATACAGACCTCACCTTCTGGAAGCTTACAGCCTAGTGGGCATAAAGCCCACCTTCTGGATCTCTTCTAATGGAAACCATCTGCCCTTTTTTAACTTTTTCTAACTCTCATCATCTATTACAACATCAGTACTGAGGAGTCTTACAGACTGATCTTTTCACAAAGGATCTAGATGTGGAAAAATATAGATTTACTGACTATTAAAAATATAGACTAGATCACTCCTTCTCAAAAAAATAAAAATCAGATTGAACATTTCTGAATCATTAAAACCAATCTGAATTCCTGTATAAAAAACTGCACTTGAGTTTGTAGTTGTCTGAAGATTTAAATCTGGTTTAAGTTTGGAATTGTAAATATATGCTCTCTAAAAGGCGGCCATGCCATATGTACCAGAATACACAGTCTGTAAAGTGGTAGGTTATGAGGGAATTGTCAAAGAGGAAGGGGTGGCCCTCCTCCTGCTGAAAGCTGATGAATCTCTGTTTCAGATCCCATTTGGAGACCTTACTTCACTGCTTACTCCCTTATCTTGTATACCTTCAATTTCTCCCTATCCCCTCACAATACAAAAACCCTCATATCTGTTGGCTCACAAACTAGCAATCCCCCTAGCATTGGACATCAACCTATCCAGCCCCTCTTCACAGCCTGCTCTAGGCTTCCGGCCTCCATTTCCTCACCTCTCATTCACTGTTTTTCAGTTCGTGAACATTACAGCAAAATACACCATGTTCTGCATTATGTACTGAATTGTTTTAAATATACAGGTTTGATGTATTGTATTAGCAGGTATCAAAATGTTAGTATATGGAATAAATCTCAGTATATGAAGAAATCTGAAAAATAAACCCTCAAATCATGGTGAGGTCACATCATATGTGCCTTAATTTACACCGTGGAACTAATGCTAGAACTTCCTTTTAGGATATACTTTCACGATTTCATTTAATCCTCACAACAAGTAAATTTTCAACATATCGTATCAATGTTACAGAGGCTTAATAGTAATGCAAAATGGAACAGACCAGAAGAAAAGGAAGAACTCCTTAGAATTCTCTACTCATTTCCCCACTCACTCAGAAAGAACTGGAAAATGATCTTAAAAATGAAAGGTTTGAATGATCGGATAGCTGCACACTTTCTATTGTTGTTTCTGCCTATATGTTAGTTCTCTAGTTCCTAAACTCCTGGTGGGCATATGAATTACTCTATAGACTTGCACATAAGGAAAAATTAAAAGATTTTCCAAGGCAAATTTTACTGTAAGTGACTGTACTATAATCAAATTCCTCTAAGTTAAATGCAGGTAAAATGGGATTTCAATCTACAGTCATCAGATTATCTTTTCTAGTTCATCCTTAAAGATACATCTCTTGAACGCTTACCTTAAAATTAATTTGCATCATTGGGAGAAGATGAACCAATGAACTGCACATGTCTGTAGTGATGAGTGAATTAATTTCTGGTACATTGAGACACTGTAATGTTTTATATTTTTCCCGGGACATGCCCACTTTTGATCCTAAAACATCAGCAATGGCTATAGGCAAAGGAAAAGATTAAAAATAGTAAAGTTACAGCTTGTGAAAGAAATAAAGTTATAATTTAATCAAATTTTAAAGAAGAATTTACCAAATAAAAGGAAATTCAAAACATTCACACTTTTACCATAATATCTCAAAAAGGCTGAATAATTTCGTTGGTTAACTGTGTGGAATAAATTGTGTGAAAGCCAAAGAATTTATTTTTAAAGGCCTATCATTTATTATTTAAAACTACAAAAATGAATAGATAGGGGTAGAGGAAAGGAAGGAACTAAATTTGGAGAAGTTAGAACCCTGGCTTTATCACTTCTTATACTAATGTTTGACATAATGTGATCATACTCAAGAAGAAATGGAAAGCACTTTGCAAAATAGTATAATACTACCTAGAAAAACTATAGTTACACATCAAGAAAACATTTAGGAACAAAAATTAAAACTGTTTTCTAAAATAATTAACTGATATTATAGTTATCCTCAAAGAATACAGTAATACAACTATGCATTAGTCATCTTTCAAAGTTTAATAAAATAATAATGTAGCATGGACATTTGCTCTGTAAACTTCTTAGAACTATAAAAGCTAAGATAAATACATACTATCAAATGTTTCCGTAAAGTTAAGCTTTTCAAAGTTTAAATACATCAAACTATCAAATTTTCCTTCAACATCAAAGGTAATATTGAATCATTTCAGGAAATAATTATCAAATGCAAGAGCAGAGACTGAAAGGGCTTTATGCAAGACGAATCTGATCTTTATAATATATTAATGTAAATTAGATACAGCTACCACCCACCTAGGAAGACTTTCTCTTTTCCAATAGAATAAGTGCCACACACAACAAGAGCACGTGGGTTTAGAGTTACAGCCTCAAAGGCAGTGTTGATGGCAAACTGGATAACCTCTTGCTGAGACGGAAAGGTGTATTCTGGGCTACAGTATCTGTAATATGGAAACATGGTACTTACTCAGAGAACA